AATTATGCTTTCCGTGTGATACAAGACGTAGATACACCCATTAAAGCTTCACTAATTGACTCAAATCATTACTGAATTGCATTTGATACAGAGATATGCTGTTAATTCACTTACAATTAATAACCAAGGTGAGACTTTCATCCACTTTTCTTGCAATCAGGGGAATGGAAGATTTTCCTCTCAGCAATAATGCCAACTTAACCGACGACGGTACGGCGAAAAGCCGAAAAGTGGCGTCCAATACAAAGAGGTGGTAACCGAACATGTTAAATTCAATTGGATTGTCGTCAGGGTATTTCCAGGGTACCAAATAAATTAAAAGATGGCATTGGTATTTTGTATTCTGAAAATCCAATCACCTACTTTCTGTGTGATTTTAATAACATCGCGATCAATAAATAAAATAAAATATTCGTATGTAATAGTTCTGGATCTCTAAAGACCCGTAAAATTGCGCTGTGCCCTTTGGACTTTACCTTGACCTAGTTTCTAAGGTCATCGCAAGGTTACTACCAGATGACAGAGGAGATCCAGTGTCTTTTGGGGTTGATCTACTTTACAAGGTTACCATAAGGTTATTACTAGAAGGGAGCGAGTCACCTTGGAGCTTCACCTTGACACACTTTTCCAGGGCCAACACCACTCACCTTGAGCTACTTTACAGGGTAGCAGCCACGTGGCACGTGCCCTTCACCTTGACCTACTTCCCTAGGCCACCTCCACGTAGCACGTGACCTTGTCTTACTTTCCAAGGTCACGCTGGGTGACAAGCGACCTTGAATAGATCCAGGATCGACCTTCTATAACTACTCCGGGATATTCATGATTTTCGAAAAGCGGCACCTCTTTTTCAGTGGGATTATTTCATCGTAAATATCATTCCGATAAAAAAATTTCGAGAAAATCCCCAAAAACTGAAAAAACTTTTTCCACGTTTTTTGGGTATCACTCAATGATTAATTAATTTTTTGGGTTTAATTTTTTTTCCTTTTCTTTATAGATAAGTACCTATTCAAAAAAGTTCTTATTTGCATTCATTAATTTAATTATCAGGTTCTTTGAAAATTTTAGAGGAACAAATGGTGAAAGTTACATTAAAAATTACTTACCATTTTAATGTTATCATAAATGTGGAAAATAATATAGCACACAAGCTCCTATGTATGACTATAATATCTTGGCATTGCGTTTTATTGGCTAAAGCTATGCTCATTTTCAATTTCATTCGGTTCATAACTAATGGAGATAAAAGAGCCTTTTTTATTTTTTTGTTCTACATTGCCAATACAGAAGCTTAACTGAAAATTAACTTTCACGAGATGGTTAGTTTCCCTTTATCGTCATGTATAATACAAAACTTTATTTTGTAGCAGAAGCCATATAAATCGTTGTAAAGCTTCTGACAATTCTGAATTTAATTTAAAGATGTCAAAAAATAGCAAGTTTAGGTTCTGCCGTCGAGATCGTTTCCATAGAAACAGAATTGCATATATTCTGAACTTCATTTTATATCGGGCATTTGAAATAAGAATGACAGATGTGATTACAATGCACAATCATTTATTTCACTTTATCTACCCAATGACTCTTACGATTAAAGTAAAGCTTGTTACATGAAGCATATAAGTCTACTGTGCAAAGTTTCAACCGAATAGGTTCAAGCGTTTGGCAGGGACAGAGAGGCGTAACCCTAAGGGGTCATTGGATTTGACCCATTTTCAATAGGTATTGTGGCATATAGATCAACTGAGCACAGTTTGAACCAAATCGGTCCAAGCGTTTGACAGTTATCGTGTTCACGGACAGACGGACACCATCGACTCTCCTATAAATCTTGCATCGCTTTACTCTGCCGCTTAATAAAGTCTACAAGTCTTATAAAAAGGGATATCCAAGAGTTGTTAAAATTTTATGTTTTTATGACAACATTGTGCCTGTATTATGAAACTCCAAGAACATTACACGTACACAAAGCCCTTCTGATCGTTAAAAATATACATTACGATTATGACCCTAATTTTAAAATACAGCATTTCAAGCAAATACGATGTTATAAAATCCTCCGTTTGGTATATAGACGTTGGCACTTGAACGGTGAAATTTGTGGCTTACATATTGAAATTGAGTAATGCCAGCATTACGAAAACGGACATTCATGGTGCCTACGCTAAATTTATTGATGAATTGTTGAGAGGAATAAATCCCTTCCTCAAATGAATATAAATCGTAGCTAGAGATTTGGTCGATTTGGGAAATACGCTTTCGCCATTAGGGGCGTTTCTCGGCGATTCTATGTGCAAACTATGTCAAATGTACCTACTTCACTACATTAATAATTAGTTTAAAATTTGTAAACCTACACTATTAAACTTCCCCAGCGCTATATATATGAATAGCGATTCGGTATAAAATATGTCTTGCACGTGCTTTGCATACAACCTTTGAATATAATTTTAACTACCAAAATCCGTTATCGGTATGATGTCAGGGATTGTATAAAAATTTAGAATTGGCTGATCATATCGATATATATTTTTCAAACGCGGCTTTTTATTTGTATACTTTCGTTTGTTGTTTTTAGGCCACTTAATACTTTCCATATTCGTTTTTGTGGCCCTTACATGTCGTGTTCCATCTCTGAACGAAATCTGCGCCAGTATTCTTCCCTTATTTCTCGTACACGGTTGTCGACCCTGTTCCTCATTGTTATGTACCCTTCATGGTTTTCCTGTGCCTGACAATTTTTAAATGTTAAGAATATCGTTTCAGTTCCGGTTTTACCGGAGGTGGCTAGCAACTTTCTTATTTCAAATAGAATACCCTATATTTATGGCGTTTTAGAAATCTACATAAGAATCCACGTCGTTTGATACCACATTTTCCTATACCCAGCATCAAAGGTTTTCAAGTTATTCCAGTTTTTTCAAAATTGTTGACGTTTGACTGCTCTTCTTTAGCGCCTTGTTGTTACCTATGGCTCCGTTGCCTTGAATTTCAAAAAGCCTTCCAAAATCTACAATACTGACGTGATGCTACATGCGAATGATTTAAATTTTGAACGCCCTTCTGCAGGGTGTTTTAAAATGAATGGCCAAGTTTAATAACTTCGAACTTTAAAAAGTTGACTTTTTCAAATGAAACTTTGTTTATTTTTTTGGACTTTCAGATGTCGAAATTCGATTATTACATTCCCTATACCTATTTGTTATGCGCTCTGTTTTATTTTAGATTTTTTCTAAAATTGTGACTGTTATGCATAATTTTCATACTAGACCTTGAAATAAACGAATTTAAAATGTGACCGAACGACACTGGTTTGTCAACCAATTTCAAAGAAATTGTTTATTCTCTATCGCATGAGCGAGAATGAGATGGTAATTTGAAATTGTTGGAAATTGGTTCACAACCTAGTGACGCAGGGTTCACTTTTCATCAATTTAAGTATCCAATCATCCAAATTTCGTTACTAGATTCTACTAATCGTCCATTTTATAGTTCTTTCCAGCGGATCTACATCTATAAATTTTGGTTGGGACCCCTTATATTTAAACCAAAAATGTGATAAACGTATATTTAGCAAAAGAATATGTGCCCAAAATCGGTTTATGATCGACAAATACCATTTGAAAGAAGTGTGAATGTATGTAATCAACCCAAAAATGTATCATTAATCACACTTCTCGATGTGCAGAAAGTGGTCGCTAAAGCCACATTGCCACTAAAATAAGATAAGAAACAAAAGTGAATGCATAATCTACAGGATCATAGTGCTCCACTGAAATTTACAACACGATTATACGATAGTCATTAATCAAGACGAACGCGCGCAAATCAATAGAAACCGTATAAAAAATTCACTGACTGGCAATTGAGATTAACGTACTGTTGAAAGCATGATAAGCAAGGGATAAAATATAGTCGAGCTGAAGGGATGTAATTAAAGTGTAAACTAGCGCACAACTCATTTTTGCAAATTGATGTTTACCCGGAATTAATTTGTTTTTTCGCCATTGCTAATCTAATTTATGTTCGGTCACGTGTGGCAAATTAGTACAGTGAGATTTTCATAAATAAAATCACTCATTGGTCCTCAAATTGCGACATGATTGGGTCGATATACAGACACAGGAGTTCTAGTTGATATTTGTTCGGAGTTTAATAGAGCGATTCTTACAAAAATATAGCGAATACGTGCCAAACAGTGCAACATATTAAAAAAACTAAATCAATAGCCCTTGTTAATATTGCTTTATTGAGTATGCGGTGGTTCCATTTGGTCGGCCCGCGTGTTGAAGTTACGCAAATTGGGATTCGTAATTTATTTCACAATATTAAACGATAAACACTTGCACAATTTTGTAGTATCTGCTACTTACCTTTATTAAACTAGTGGCCAGGTAAACTCCTGACTTGGTTTTCCGACTACTTTTAATAGAGTCATTGCAATTATCTTTGGTCATAGTATAACATTTAGAAAATGCCATCTAGCCCCTTTATTTTGAACCCGACGCAAAGTGTACAAGCCTTTCTTGTAGATCTCATCAAGGCACATCTTTTTTGTAATTAACATTTTTCACTCTTATGCTTACTTTTAGAGAAAAATGCAAGTTTAGATAAATAAAATAAATAGTTTAACTTTTCAATTCAAAACTTCTCAAAAACAAAGGAACTCACAAAAAAATTGTAATGAACCTTCTTTAGATTTTTTTAAGCCATTTCGGCCAGTAAAAAATTTTAAAAAAATGTTTCAATCTGTTATGTCTCTTTTAAAGTTTTGACACGCTCAACAACCATGAAGATGGTTAGGGATCAAAACCAAAATAGGAGGTTTTTGATTTCCCATACCACTCTATGTGCACCCCGAATTTCGTTAAAATCAGTTCAGGGGCAT